ACTTTTGTGATTCAAAGGACAATGTTAAGAAAGTTAAAAGAAAATCCACAGGATAAGAGGAAAATTTTGCAAGTCACTGGGCAATTTGGTTTTTTAATTATTGGTGTAAAACATAAAGAGAGTGAGAGAGATTGGGCACAGTGGCACATACCTGTAATCCCAGTGGCTTGGGAGGCTGATTTCAAGTTCAAAGTCAGCCTCAGCAACAGCAAGGCACTAAGCAACTCAGTACATAAAATACAAAACAGGGCTGGGGGGCTGGGATTGTAGCTTAGTGGTAGAGTATTCACCTAGCATGTGTAAATCACTGGGCTCAATCCTCAGCACCACATAAAAATAAATAAATAAAATGAAGGTATTGTGTCTATAACTAAAAAAATTTTTTTAAAAATAGGACTGGGAATTTGGCTCAGTGGTCGAGTCCCCTGGGGTTCAATCCCCGTGTTCTCAAAAAGAAAGAAAAAAAGAGAAAGAGAGTGAGAGACACAGACATATGCAAGTGATAACTCTATGCTTAATCACTTGAGGAGCTACCAGACTGTTTTCCTTTTTTTTTTTTTTTTTTTTTTTTGTGGTGCTGGGGATTGAACCCAGTGCCTTGTGCATGGGAGGCAAGCACTTTGCCAATTGAGCTATACAGACTGTTTTCCAAAGTGGCTGCACCATTTTATTCCAACCAGCAGTGTTGGAGGGTTCCAAGTTCTCCATATCCCCACTGACACTTCTTACCTGACTTTTAATTCTAGCCCTTCTACTATGTGTGAAGTATCATCTGGTAGTTCTTCAGATGATTAAATATAGAATTCCCACTTATAATTCCACTCCTAAGTATATACCCAAGATAAATGAAAACATAGCCACACAAAACTTCATATTTGTAGCAATGTTATTCATAATAGCCAAAATTTAGAAATAACCCAAATGTCCATAAACGGATGAATCAACAACAAAATATGGTATATATCCCTACAATAAAATATTATTTAGTCACATAAAGAAAACAAGTACCAATACATGCTACAACCTGGATAAATCATAAAAACATCTTGTTAAGCAAAAAAAATCCAGTCACACCGGTCAAGTGGGGCATGGTGGTGCACGCCTGTAATTCTAGCTGCTCGGGAGGCTGAGACAGGAGGTTCTGGAATTCAAAGCAGTCTCAGCAATGGCAAGGCACTAAGCAACTCAGTGAGACCCTGTCTCTAAATAAAACACAAAATAGGGCTGGGGATGTGGCTCAGTGATTGAGTGCCCCTGAGTTCAATCCCTGGTACCAAAAAAAAAAAAAAAAACCACAGTCACAAAACGTGTGTGTGTGTGTGTGTGTGTGTGTGCATCTGTATGTGTGTAAAACAGAAAGTCGATTAGTGGTTGTTTAGAGCCAGGGGTAATATAGGGTGACAGTTAAGTGGAATATTGTGATGATTGCACATTTCTGCAAATACACTAAAAAAACATTGGCATGTACACTTTTGCTGTACATGCCAATGGTTTTTTGATGGGTGTACATTGTATGGTTTTTGATGGGTGTACATTGTATGGTTTCATTATATTTCATTATATATTAATTATATTTCAAGTTGCTACAAAAGAGAGATATAAATTAAAGATTTAATTAAAAGATCTTCAATATAATTCATGATAAAAGAATTATATAAAACTATACCAGTATAAAATGCTTTATCTATATTGTCAAAGATTATAAATTATTGGAGACAACACATTCTGTTGGCAAGGCTGTGAGGAAGCAGGCACCCTCAGTAATTGTTTACAGGAATGCAAAATCATACAACCATTATGGAGGAAAATTTAGCTATATCTACTATAAGTACAAATTCATTTAACTTTTGTCTCAACAAATGCACTGTGGGGTTTTACCCTGATGATACACCTTTTTTATGAAAATAGCTGCACACAAGTATTATTGCTGCATTATTACTGTAGCATTACTAATAGTTTTTAAAGATTAATTTGTTCATTTACTTATTTATGGTACTGATTGAACCCAGGGGTGCTTAATCACTGAAGCACATCCCAGTCCTTTTTATTTTTTATTTCAAGACAGGATCTCAGTAAGTTGCTTAGGGACTTATTAATTTGCTGAAGCTGATCTCAAACTCACAATCCTCCTGCCTCGGCCTCCCAAATTGTTGGGATTACAGGTGAGTGCCACTATGCCTGGCATTAGTAGTTATTAATAGCTGCAAAAATATTGGAAATAATTAAATATGTGTATAAGAGTGGTTATCCACAGGAAAGAATACTCCACAGTTGTAAAAATGAAAAATAATGCAAATTGGGCTTGATATCACATGCCTATAATCTCAGCAACTCAGGAGCCTGAGGCAAGAGAATCACAAAATTCGAGGCCAGTCTCAGCAACTTAGTGAGGTCCTAAGCAATTTAGTGAGTCCCTGCCTCAAAATAAAAAATAAAACAGACTAGGAATATAATTCAGTGGTAGAGTGCCCCTGGGTTCAATCCCTAGTACCACAAAATAATAATGATAATGATAGTAATAATATAAAATAATGATGATGATAATAATAATAATGCAGAAGTTATCTATAAACATCATTTCAGATTAGAAGGGAGTCCCAGAATCTTTTTTCTGGTACTGGGGATTGAACCCAAGGGCACTTTACCACTGAACTCCATCTCCAGCTCTTTTTTACTTAATTTTAAATTTTTGAAACAGGATTTTGCTAAGTTGCTGAGCCAGGATGTATTATTAAGTGAAAAAAAAATGCAAGAATGTCTATCTATGAGATGTTATCTTTGGTGTAAGAAAAAAAGGAGAAATGAAAAATGATTTACTTGTGAAAAGAACACAGGAAGTATGAACCAGAAATAGAAGAGATTTATTACCTACAGGATGAAGATAATAGGAATGGGGTAGAAAGGATAATACTTGGGTGGAATGAAATAAAAGGATGATGGAGGAGGAGTGACATTTCTGAGTGTAGCTTTCACAGCTCTGACTTGATAAGTATGCTAATACATAACGTGCTGAAAGATTCATAAATGTGGTAAGAACAGGTGGAAAATACCAACATTTCAACAGTTTTCTCCAAATAAATAAATTTGCTGCCTCTTCACTTTCAATCCTTTTTACACCCTCAAGCAGAATATTAAGCTGAGGATATAAAAAAAATGGTCTTTAGCCACTTGCTTTTTGCAATGCCTGGTTAGGAGGTTTCTCTTTGAAGCATGCAATACTACCTACATATTGTGCAATTTTGTACCATAATCATAATTGAGACGAAGACCCATTTTAATAATCTTTTACATCTGTTCTGTCATCCCATATGTTTTTGTTGTTGTTTTTTAAGAAAATCTGGTTAACAAAATAGCATCTTTTATTTTTTTAAATTAATCCGTTTATCAGAAATTTACAATGTCTATTCATTCCATCAGCGCAGGAGCTCAGCTGGTGGCCATGAGAACCCAAGGTAAAAGGTGTTGAATGCAACTTCCTTGTTACTACAGAGTTGTGGTCAAGTCCCAAGGTGAGGACAAGGGTCAGTAAGTATCGGGTATATTCTCAAGAGTCGCAACAATAGGAACCAGAACTCTCACACATCTTTTTTGATGTTCTTATTGCTGTTTCTTGTCTCCCCCACCTTTTTTTAAAAAAAAATAATCTCTCTCACATCTTATAAAGAGAAGGTCTAGTCAACCATATGTGCACCAACTCTCACCCTTTACCCCACCACAGTACCCATAAAGAATGGGTCGGGGCCTAGGATGTGTATAGCTCAGTGGTGGAGCCCTTGCACCACAGTTTAACATGCACAAGGCCCTGGGTTCAACCCCCCAGAACTGCGGGGGGGGGGAACAACAACAAAGAAACAGATTGGCAGAGCAAATAGGAGTAGTCATTATTGGCCTTATGGAATATATATTATTAACTTTAGCAATTTCATAAGTGCTTCTTTTTTAAAAATATTTATTTTTTAGTTGTAGGTGGACACAATACCTTTATTTTACTTTTATGTGGTGCTGAGGCTCGAACCAAGTGCCTCACGCATGCTAGGCATGCACTCTATCACTGAGCCACAACCCCAGTGCCATCATAAGTGTTTCTTAAATAAATCTTTTTCTGGAAGGCAGGTAACTGGGAATTGAACCTAGCGATATTCTCCATTGAGCTACATTCCCAGCCCTTTTTATTTTTATTTTGAGACAGGGTCTCACTGAGTTGCACAGGCTGGCCTCAAATTTGCAATCCTCCAAGTTGCTGGAATTATAGGAATGTGTCACTGTAACTTGACGCTTTTAAAATAGATCTTCATGATTTTTTGCAACCCTTGACCCCATTTTGGTATTATTATTATTTTTAATACTTTCAATCCTCTTTCCTCAGCCTCCCAAGTCCCTGGGATTAAAAACATGCCACAGCACCAGGCTCCACGTGGTATTGTTACACACACACACACACAAAAAAAAAAACAACTAACAACTTGTTTTATCCTTTTTTTTTTTCTAGGAATATGACAAACCTGGAGTCGTACCTGAGGAGGTAACTGCTGCTGGCTAACAGGGCAGAGGTGTGTGTCACCATGGAAGACGCAAGCCCGTCTAGCAGTGTCGACGTGGACAAAGGCTTTGCCATTGCGTTTGTTGTCCTTCTGTTTCTATTTCTGATAGTGATGATTTTTCGGTGTGCCAAGTTGGTGAAGAATCCGTACGAGGCAAGCTCCACAACCACAGAAACACCTCTGAGCTGAAGTGTGATAAAACCTGGGACACCCGCTTACAAGAGATTTGAATTATTTTATACAGACTTTATGATCCAGACCTTATATTATCTCACCTCCCCATTTCTCAGCCTTCTCACTCTTGCATTCCACAATGGATATAGAGAGTGAGTTGAGAATAATAAAAAAAAGAGATGAAACACAAGCCCATTTACATTGTTCCTCTTCAGGGAAATGATTACTAAAGTGAGACAGAAACAGGTTGAACACATTGGTTTTAGTTGTCTAGACATTAATGTCCTAGGCCAGGTGCAATGGCACATGCCTGCAATCTCAGCGATTTGAGAAGACTGCACCAGGAGGGTCACAAGTTCAAGACCAGCCTCAGGAACTTAGTGAGGCCCTAAGCAACTTAGTGAGAACCTGGCTCAAATTTTTTAAAAAATGGGGGATTTGGCACAGTGTCTAGGTGCCCCTGGGTTCAATCCCAGTACCGAAAAAAATTAGAATTAAAGTCTTTGGGATGGGACAGTAGGCCATAATTTTGTGATGTATCATAATATCATGTTTTGTAGGGCCCATCTAAAAGTTGAAGCTCACCTGCAAGTAACAGACTCAAATGGTTGCTTTAGTTATACAAACAGGAACTGATTGTCTTAGGAGAAGATTATAGAAAGACGTTTTTAATGTATGAGGTTTTGTAAAATTTGCTGCTCTTTTGAAGTAGATAGAATTCTGTGGTAGAGGATAACCAGTTTTCCTTGGGTGAATCCCATAATCTCTCTCAGCCAAAAATTTCTTGTTGCCTACTCTCCAAAGTCTGAAGTTAAGAAAATTTGGTAGAATGGGATATGGGTCAACTGTCAGGGAAGTCCACAAAGGAATTCACTAGAAAGAAAGAAGGGCATCTAGGCTGCTTACCAAAGTTTAACAAATGTTAGTCTGAAGAGGACTGGTTCTTGCACAGCAAGTAATGAAGAATTAAAGCCCTCATATCCAGCCCTCATATCTATCCATGCTGGTCAAATATTCTAGGCAATAGAAAGCTATTATATGAATATGAACTGATATCCATAACTTTAGAATCTAAGTGTGGGGCATCATCTATGCTTATGCAGGGACTTGGACCAGAAATTAATCAGAGAAGGCATTTATCCAATGAGACCAGGCTAGACCTGTCTTTAACAGCAATCGGGTGCAGTCAGTCCTCTGCATTCCACATTCTTGGATTCACCCAACTGCTTATCACAAATATTCAGGAAAAAAAATTGTGTCCATACTGAATAAATACAGATATTTTTCTTGCATTATTCCTAAAACAATTCAGTATAACAACTATTTGCATAGCACCTACATTAAATTAGGTATTATAGATCATCGAGGTTAAATGTAGGTTATATGCAAATACTATACCATTTTATATAAGGAACTTGAACATCCATGGATTTTAGTATCCACAAGGGTCCTGGAACCATTCCCCCACATACACTTAGAAATAGCTATTGTCCCCTCACTCCCAATCCATGGTTTCACTTTCTGTGGTTTTGTTTACATGTGATCAAACATGGTCCAAAAATATTAAATTAAAAAATTCAGAAATAAGCAATTCATAATTTTTTTTAAAAAAAATAAGGACTTATTTATTTTAAGAATGGACACAATAGCTTTACTTACTTACTTACTTTATTTATTTTTATGTGGTGCTGAGAATCGAACCCAGTGCCTCACACATGCTAGGCAAGTGCTCTACCACTGAGCCACAGCCTCAGCCCTAAATGCTTTCTTTAAGTAAAAAAGGTAAAAGTTCTCAACTAAGGAAGAAAAAAGTAAATAAGCTGAGTTTGCTAAGATACCTAGTAAGAAAGAATCTTCCACCCATGAAATGGTCATATTGTTGTGACTATTCCATTTTATTATTATAATTGTTAATAACCTCTTACTGTATCTGATACATAAGTTAAACATTATCATAGGTATGTATAAAAATTGTATGTGGGCTGGGGTTGTGGCTCAGTGGCAGAGCACTTGCCTAGCATGTGTGAGGCACTGGATTTGATCCTCAGCACCGCATAAAAATAAATCAATAAAATAAAGGTATTGTGTCCACTTAAAACTAAAAAAATATATTAAAAATAAACAAAATAAAGGCATCATTTCCATCTATAATGGAATTTTTTTCAAAATTGTACACATAGTGTCCAGTACCATTGGAGTTTTCAGGTATCCACTGGGTGGTCTTGGAACACATTCTCCACTAACAGGGGAGACCACTATAACACATGGCATAGAAACACAATTCTAGCCATGCACTTGAGCAGAGACTTCATAACTGTCTTGTTCCTGATTCCTGGAAGTAGAACTGTTTCTTTTTTTTTTTTTTTTGTTTGAGTAAACCTCCAGGATACTTTGACAATGGGGATAGGAGAATTAAAGCCTTCCAAGGGAGATACTAGACATTGCCTTATTCAGAACAAAGGATAAGAGGGTGCTGTATTGATTAAACTGCAGAAAAGAGAGGAATTTGTATTTTGATTTAATGAAAAGAAATTCAGGGCCAGTGCAGGTCAGGTGAAATCGGATTAGTGTCAGTTCTTGAAATCTGCAATGTGCCACATCCCTAGCCCCATGAAATCTGCAATGTGTTACCTCCAGGAACTCAGAAATTAACACCCCCTCCCACCTCTCAAGTAAACTGAAAGACAAATACATGATTAATAGGAACATCCGTATGGAATCAGAACAGCTGTGGACATAGAACAAGAGGGGTGACCTAATGGAGCAGTCTTAGTGGCCAGGTAGACCTTGGTGTGGAGTTTCAGGGAGTTTTGGCCCACAAACCTTTGGTCTGACTGGTTTTATTGATTGTATTATCTCTGTTAATCTCATTTTCTTTTTTTAAAAGATATTTTATTAGTTGTTGGTGGCCCTTTATTTTTATGTGCTGCTGAGAATCGAAGTCAGTGCCTCATACATGCTAGGCAAGAGCTCTACCGCTGAGCCACAACCCCACCTATCTCATATTCTTAAACATTTTTTTTTTAAATCCATGTCCAGTTAGTCTCCTGAGAAGTTTTATTGAACCAGAACATTTTCAGTGTTAACCTACAAAGTATATGCAGGTGTGTGTTGGGATTCTATGTTTGTTTTTTGAATCAACATTTTAAAATTATTATTATTTTGGGGAAGATGCTGGGGATCAAACCCAGGGTTTGCACATGCTAGGCAAACATTTTATCACCAAATGACACCCTAAGCTCCAAAATTATTATTATAAAAGTAATGCATGCATATTAGGTAAGTCAACCTTCTGTCACTGTGACAAAATACCTGAGATAACATTTAAAGAGGAAAGGCTGCTGGGCATGGTAGTACATGCCTGAATTCCCAGCAACTAGGGAGGCTGAGAAAGAGGATCGTAGGTTTGTAGCCAGCGTTGACAACTTAGCAAGACCCTGTCTCAAAAATCAAAAAAATTGGAACTGGGTTGTGGCTCAGAGGTAGAGTGCTCACTTATCATGTGTGAGACACTAGCTTCCATCCTCAGCACCACATAAAAATAAAATACAGATATTGTGTCCAACTATAACTAAAAAGTAAACTTAAAAAAAAATCATGGGCTGGGCTTGTGGCTCAGCGGTAGACTTCTCGCCTAGCATGTGTGAGGCCCTGGGTTCGATCCTCAATACCACATAAAAATAAATAAATAAACAAAATAAAAGTATTGTGTCTAATCAAAAAATTAAAAAAAATATTTTAAAAAATCAAAAAAAATTTGCCAGGCATGCTAGCACAAGACTATAATCTCAGCAGCTAGGGAGGCTGAATCAGGAGGTTTGCAAGTTCAAAGCCATCCTCAGCAACTTAGTGAAGCTCTAAGCAACGTAGCGAGATCCTGTCTCAAAATAAAAAATAAAAAGACTAGGGATATTGCTCAGTGGTTAAGCACCCCTGGGTTCAATCCCTGGTACCAAAATAAATAAATAAATTTTTTAAAAATAAAAAATTGGGGGCTAGGGTTGTGGCTCAGTGGTAGAGCACTTGCCTAGCCTGATGAGGCACTGGGTTCAATCCCTGCACCATATAAAAATAAAAACAAATAAAATAAAGATGTTGTATTCATCTTCAACTAAAAAAATTTTTTTTAAGAAAAGGGCTGGGGATTAGTTCAGTGCTGGAGCATCCCTGGGTTCAATCATCAGTGACACAAGGGAAATAAAAGAAGAAGTCTTTACCTTGGCTTACAGTTTCTGAGGTTTCGTTCTAGGGTTGGTTGATCCAGTGCTTTGGGGCCTGTGGAGAAACGGTACATCCTGGTGGGAGCACGTGGCAAGGGAGGCTGGTCATCTCACAGTCCCCAAGAAGTGGAAGAGAGAAAGAGGAGCCCGGGCCCCAACATGCCCTTCTAGGGCACACCCCAACAACCAAAATTCTTTTGCTAGGTCCCACCCCTTGAGGCTTTCACCACCTTCCAACAGCCCCAAAGGCTGGGGACCAAGACTTTAAAACCTGGGCCTTTGGAGGACATTCAAGATCCACACTACAGCACAGATAGTGTAAAAAAAAAAAAAAAGTTAGCTTCCAAACGTCACCAGTGCCTGGTTTCCTTCCCATTTTTCTTTTAAAAGGTAACTAGTGTTAAATAGTTTGGTCTTGTATATATGTATATCTTTCCAAACATCTTTCTTTTCTTTTTTAATATAACATTTTTGAGTAGAATATCTGTTTTCATGTTTCAAATTTCAAAAAGGTACAAACAGGGTACAGTGAAATGCCTGCTCTCCTTCCCCCCTGCCTCCTTCCAGTTCCCCTCTTCAGAGACCACCCGTGTTCCCGACTTCTTAAACATCCTCCTGGTGACATTTTATATGTATGTGAGAAAAAAATTGCTTATTTTCCCCCAGCATTTACAAAACAATACCATACCTTATAAATGTTTTGCACCTGCTTTTTTGTTTCATATTGTAGATTGAAGATTATTCCATATCGATACACAAAAATCATCCTTTGCCTTTTTTAAAAAATATAGCCGAAAAGTATTCCATTATTTGATTCTGCCATAATCTAACCAACCCTGGGGAATAGAATCTGTATTATGTTTCTTTTCTTTTTTTTTTCCTATTTCATTTTGTACTGTTTCAAATAATGTTCTACTAGATAACTTAGCACTCATATCATTTCAACGTCAT